TGTCCTTAGGTTTTATCAGGATAGAAATAGTTGGGTTGAAGACACTCAGTTCTTATGGGGTCCTGCATTGCTTATTACTCCTGTCTTAAAGCAGGTAAGTTTTGCATGCTTAATAACTTTTTGCTTAGAGGGAAATATCTATAACCAAAATCAAATGAATTGTAAAATGTTTGGGTAATATATATCATCAGTTGAATGTCTCAAGCCATAAGTGTATAACTGAATCCTAATGTGTAGAAAAATTTCAAATAATTATGAAAATATTAAATACATCTGTGCTTATAAAGTACTTAATATCTAACTAGGGACAAGAGAATTGTCCAAAATTAGCACTGTTTTGAAATAGAAGCTTTATTTTTCAAAACAAAATTAAATCTTTGAAAATAACAATGAGTCTTCATTTAAGCACATATTAACACTACAATTTTGCTAAATTGTAAACAAAGGAACTTAAAAACCAGACAATTGGTGATTGTATAAAAGTGTTAAAAAAATAGCAGAATCAGTTATCCATTTTATAAGTTTGTGTGACCATCAAGATGTGAAGAAATAAAGATGTTTCCATGCACAACTATTTTGTAGTTTATAACAATATAAATGTATGTATGCATTATTTAAATTGACACCCAAATTATTTCCATCTTTGCCTATTTGCTTTTGTTATGTACTGATTTTGGTTACTATGTATCAGGAATATTGGTGTATAACAAAACAGAGGTGGGTATTTCCCCCACCCCTTGACTATGAATACCCATATAACATTTGACTTGATCATTTCCTGTTAAAAATTGAAGTAAAAAAGTAATAATAATGTATATATTATTTTATTGCTTTCATATTAGGGAGCAGAAACAGTGAGTGCATATATCCCTGATGCTACTTGGTATGATTATGAAACTGTAAGTAACATTAATGTTATAATGGGATAATAAGAATTATAGTTTTGAACATCTGTACATAGAAATTTAAATGAAAACACTCAATTATATATATTTTCGGGATTTCTGTTACTATTATGAAGGGAATGCTTTCATACATAAGAATAATATACATCGTGTAACTCTATTTGTTGCAAGAGGTAGGCCATAATATAAAATTAAATTGGTTAATATAAAGGACATATTCTTCATTTAAAATTTAGGAAATAAAAGCACAGGAGTTATTTTAGGAAGAAATATGAAATTAATATAATGTTTCTTTTCCATTTTTTGTGTTTATCTTAGTGTGAGAAGAATTAAGCATTCAGTTAATCTTAAGAATTTGTTTTTAAAGAGTTTTCAAGTGGGAAAAACATTGTAATTTCAACAATCAAAAAGCAACATAGCAGTCTTCACATCCACAACTTATTTTTTTTTTTTTTGATCAAGAGCTTTTAATAAGTATTTAGTTTAAAAGGTATTATTTTGCATATCACATATTTGCTAAGTAGATGTTTCTTTCTATAGAAATAACGACTTAAAACATCATCAAGACAACTTTTCAAAAATATAGTTAACAGTAAACCAAACCAAAACAAAACAAAAAAGCTGAGGATAATACTCATTATTGGTCAAAGGAAACAAATGTCTCTTTTTTGATTTTGTTAATAAAAGGAACTTATTTCTCTCCTTGCTTTGATAAGTAAACTGAAAACAAATGTTTTCTTTAATAGTTAGAAAAATATATCCATATTAACTTAAATAGCATTAGTGCTCAGACTAAGTGTTGTTTCCATGTATAAATTTTAATTTCTAAAAAGGGGGTTTGAAGAATTCATGAATAATAATGTTTTCATCTTACAAATATTAGGGTGCAAAAAGACCATGGAGAAAACAACGTATTGATATGCCTCTTCCACCAGACAAAATAGGATTACATATTAGAGGAGGTTATATTATCCCCATTCAACAACCTAATGTAACCACAACTGCCAGGTAAAAGGAAAAATCATTAATTCAAATCTGAAATAAAATTTAAATTGTAATATTTTATATTTTTGTTATTTTAATATTCTACATATTTTTTAAGAATTATAGAATATGTAATATTAAGTTTTACCACCAGAAAGTATTTAAAATCTGGGCAGAATTTTATAACTATCTTACTTATAAAAAATGACAAATTTTATGTATTATTACAAATTTCCTAATTTAAAACTAAAATTTAATTAGACTAGAATTTTATTTCCTGTGGTAAAATTTACAAATATCATCTATAGGATGTATGAAGTTAAAAATAATCTCTGAATCTTAAAAAAAATATGAACTATTAAATTATTTCTTGGAAGGAAGAGTGGCCAATCTACTTCTGTAGTGATACTGCCTCGGAAACCCAAGGAGGGGTTCCTATGAGTCAGGTCCGACTCAAGGGCACATAACCACAACAACAACATTAAGTTATTTATGTGATCGATAATTCTGTGTGTTTCTACAGATGTTAGGTTTCAATATGTAAATAATCAAAACATCTTTTATACTAAATATACTTTTAAGTTAATAAATGGAGTATTTCCATTTGAGTAAAGATCAGGAGAGAAATTAAGTTTTTCAATAAACCTGAATCTCAGAAATATTTAGAGAGAAAAAAATGAAAATTTATTTTTGCATCTAACAGCATTCATTCTGACACAGAAGGTGTCATACTGAATGAATTATGTTTTCCCATATTATGACACAACCCATCAGATAGTCACTCTCTCTTACCTTCCTGTATTTTCTCCAAGACTTTAGGAATGTCAGAAATTAGATCATTTAGTTTTTCTTGTATATGGTGTGTTTACTCCCCTATACTTTAAGCTCCACAAAGGCAAGGGCTTAACTTTTTACTGGTGTATCCCCTCAAATTTCTAACAGTGCCTGATTCACAGTCATTCTATTATTTTCTATAAATATTTGTCTTTGGAACAAATCAGTGAATGGTTGAGTATTGGTAATTTAATTAATTTGGCATTATAGAACTGATTATTCTTATAATGTAACTCTTTCATGATTATATTCTCAAAAAATTGATTATACTCCAGAGTGTTATTGAACATGAAAATTGTACACTTTGATAAATGTATACCAAAAGGAATAGATTCTCTGTAGAGCAATTGGCTGGATTGTATAGTCTCATGTACACTATTGTAGGATTAAAAACCTGTGGTACAATATAATTAAGAAAAAGATTTTTATTGATCATATATCTTTTTTTCCTGATACATTTAGCTTTATTTAGAAGGTCATTAGAAATTTCACCCAAAATTGCTTTTTTAAAAATTTATTGTGCTTAATTGTTTTTGTTTAGTATTTTAGTAACATATAAACATGATACATAGAAATGTATGGATAAGTTGTTGTTGCTGTTCTTATGTGCCGTCAAGTCGGCCCCGACTCATAGCGTCCCCTCCTTGGGTTGCCGAGGCAGTATCACTACGGAAGTAGCTAAGTTATATGTGGTAAATTCAGGTTGAAGTGAGCATTAATATGATAGATTTAATTTTTCTTATTTGAAATGAAATGTTATACTTTTTCAATTTTTCAGTAGTCTTACTCTCAATGAAATTCAGTGTTGTACTTTATTCATTCCTTTCATTTGATTTCTAACTACATAAATTATTTTTTCTCACTGAAAAATTATTGGTGGTGCACAGTACTTTGCTTCATACGAATGTTCTTACGTGAATGCAGAGCTCTTACATAGCTGTTTGGTTGCAATAGGTTTATTTATAGATCATTTACTTGTATCAGTTTATTTTTAATCACTTATGCACTCAATCTTACTTAACAGCCGCCTGAACCCCTTAGGACTTATAATTGCATTAGATGAAAACAACACAGCAAACGGAGACTTCTTCTGGGATGATGGAGAAACAAAAGGTAAGTCTCAAAGTGGAATGCTTTTAAATGTTCTTTCAGGGGATGGAAAATTTTGCCTTTATTTATTGATATAAAGTTGCAACTATTTAAAAAATCTCCTAAGTTTTGTTTTTCAATTCCTAGCATTTTTTTTTAACCTGCCTTAGGCTTTTATTTTATAGATTTTATGTTATTTACACATGGTTGATTACAAAACCTAATTTTGTGTATTGGGTTTTTCCTATAATTCTTTGCCAAATGTAGGTATCATCATCTACTATATTATTATTTTAAATTAAAATAGCTAATAAGTTCCCAGATGTACAAATCACATCTTATTTCCACCTGTGTTTAATGACTGTAGTGGTTAAAGTGAAAATTGTACATTGTAAACAAAATAAATCAATATTTATGGCTTCAATTAATGAATGTCAAATTATTTGAGGTAAGAATGCTATCACATAAATGGCTACAATTTATTTATATCATTAAATATCTTTAATTTTCTTTTCATGAACCCCTAATATGAAAATTCATTACACAGAGTGAAAAAAAAGGTATTTTAGTTAAATATCTAATAATGGCATAATAAATTACTTTAGTTAATTTTAATCTTTTATAGCTTTCCTCATAAATAAATTAAAACTTTTTTAAAACATAGAGCTCGTAGGTATGTGTTCTCTATCTTTGTGTAAAATATATGCTTTAGAATCTATTTTAGTTCACAGATTCTCAGGTGAATTTACTATATGTATTTAAATGTGTATTTAATATCTAAATGTCTGAAGTAGTTTATTCTTTCTTATTATTTTAATTTATTTATATTTTATTGTAATTTTGGTGAAAGTTTACAGAGCAAATTTTCCATACTGCAGTTCAATTCATATATATTCTATTTCATTATATTGATTGAAATCCTCATAATGTAAAAGCTCTGTTCCCACTAAGTCCTTTACTATGCGTTCCTGCCCTTTGATCCCGTGCAAATACTGCTCTTTTGATCTCCCATGATTGATTGTTGTAAGGAGTGTACTTACTTGGTGAAAATGTTCACTTTATACACCTGTCTATTTGTTGGCTGGAAGCCATGGAAGTGAGTTCAATTCCAGGCCTGAAGGGTGGTGGCTAGGGGCCATAGTCTCAGAGGCTTCACTAGTCTCTATCAATCAGACCAATAAGCCTGGTCTTTGTTTGTGTGTATGTGTGTGTGTGTGTGTGTGTGATTCTGACTTTTGGTCCACATTTTTCTCCCACCCTATCCAGGATCTCCTGAATTGATCCTTTACCAAGTGGTTGACAGTGGTAGCCAGGCACCATCTAGTTCTTCTGGTGTCACGGTCATATGCTGTTGGTAGATGCCCTTGAGTCCTGTCCATCATGTCCTCTTCTGAATCCAGCTTGCACATCTGGAAGTTCTTTGACTGCTACAACCATTTTAGAATTATCTTTAGTAAGATATTATTTGCATGAGATATGAATGATACTGTTTGAAAATTTCCACATTCTGTGGGATTACCTTTGGAATGGGTACAAATATGGATCTCTTTGAGTCAGTTGGCAAGGTAGCTGTTTTCCAAATCTCTTGGCATAACCGAGTGAGTGTCCAACTCATAGTGACCCTACGCACAGCAGAACAAAGCACTGCCTGGTCCTGTGCCAGCTCCATGATCCTTGCTACACATGAGCTCATCGTCGCAGCCACAGTGTCAATTCATCTTGTTGAGGGCCTTCCCCTCTTTCATAGAACCTTCACCTTACCAAGCATGGCATCCTTCTCCTGGGAGTGGTCCCTTCTGATAACATGACCAAAGTAGGTGAGACGAGTCTGGCCATTCTTGTTTTCAAGGTGCATTCTGGCTGCACTTCTTCCAGGACAGATCTGTTCTTTTAGCAGTACATGGCACTTTCAGCATTCTTCACCAGCACCATAACTCAAAAGCATGAAGTTTTCTTTAGTCTTCCTTAATCATTTTTCAGCTCTTACATGCATAGGAGGTTATTGAACATATCATGGCTTGTGTCAGGCACACCTTAGTCCTCAAGAAGACATCCTTGCTCCTCAGCACTTGAAAGAGGTCCCTTGCAGCCAACTTGCCCAGTGCTATACATCACCTAATATTCTGACTGCTGCTTCCATTGGCGTTAATTGTAGAAGCAAGCAATGTGAAGTCTTTGACAACTTCAATCTTTTCTCCATTTATTGTGATGCTACTTATAGATCCAGTTGTGAGGAATTTTGTTTACTTTATATTGAGAAGTTATCCATACTATAGACTGTATTCTTCAACCTTCATCAATAAGTACCTCAAGTCACAATCACTTTCAGCAAGCAAAGTTGTGTCGACAGTGTAGTGCAGGTTGTTAATGATTCTTCCTCCAATCCTGATGCCACGTTCTTCTTCACGTAGTCTAGCTTCTCGGAATATTTGCTCGGCATACAGATTGAATAAATTGGGGAGAGAATACAACTTTGACACACTCCCTTCTTGATTTTAAACCACACAGTGTCCCCTTGTCATGTTCAAACAACAGGCTCCTGGTCAATATACAGGTTTCTCATGAGCACAATCAAGTGTTCTGGGTTCCTGTTCTTCTAAATGTCATCCACAATTTGTTATGATATACACAATCAAATGCCTTTGCATAGTCAATAAAACACAAGTAAATATCTTTCTGGTATTCTTTGCTTTGAGCTAGGATCCATTTGACAGCAGCTATAATATCCCTTGTTTGACATCCTCTTCTAAATCCAGCTTGCACCTCTGGAAGTTCTTTGTCAATATACTGCTACAACTGTTTTAAAATTATCTTCAGTATGATCTTACTTGAGTGAAATATTAATGATATTGTTCAATAATTTCCGCATTCTGTGGGATTACCTTTCTTTGGAATGATTACAAATATGGATCTCTTCCAGTCAGTTGGCCAGGTAGCTGTCTTCCAAATCTCTTGGCATAACTGAGTGAGTGCCTCCAGTGGGGCACTGTTTGTTGAAACATCTCAATGGGTATTCTGTCAGTTCTTGGAGCCACGTTCTTCTCCAGTTCCTTCAGTGCAGCTTTGACTTCTCCTTCAGTACCATTGGTTCTTGGTCATATGGCACCTCCTGAAATGCATGAAGATCTACCAGTTCTTTTTGGTACAGTGACTCTGTGTATTCCTTACATCTTCTTTTGATATTTCCTGCATCATTTAAGATTTTGCCCATAGAATCTTTCAATATTACAACTCAAGTCTTAATTTCTTCCCTCATTTCTTTTAGCTTGAGAAATGTTGACTGTATTCTTCCCTTTTGGTTTTCTAATTCCAAGTCTTTGCACATTTCATTATAGTAATTGGCTTTGTCTGCACTAGCTGCTCTTTGAAATCTTCTATTCAACTCTTTTGTCTTCTCATTTCTTCCATTTACTTTAGCTACTCTCTGCTCAAGTGCAAGTTTCAGAGTAACTTCTGTCATCGATTTTGTTCTTTTCTTCCTTTCCTGCCTTTTTTAATGTCCTTTTGTTTTCTTAATGGATGATGTTCTTGATGTCATCCCACAATTCTTCTTGTTTTCGATCACTGGAGTTCAATGCATTTAATCTATTCTTTAGATGGCCTCTAAATGCAAGAGGGATATATTCAAGGTCATATTTTGCCTCTCATGGACTTGTTTTAATTGTCTTTAAGTTCAAGTTGAACTTGCATATGACCAATTGATGTTCTGTTCCACAATAAGCCCCTGGCCTTGTTTTCGTTGAAGATATTGAGCTTTTCCATCTCCTTTTAACACAGGTGTAGTCAATCTGATTCCTGTGTATTCCACCGGCAAAGTCCACACATATAGCTCCCGTTTGTGTTGTTGAAAAAAGGTATTTGCAATGAATAAGCCTTGCAAAATTCTATAATGTGATGCCCAGCATAATTTCTGTCACCAAGGCCATATTTTCCATCTACCAGTGATTCTCCTTTGTTTCCAACTTTTGCATTCCAGTTACCAGTGATAATTAACACATCCTGATTGCACATTTGGTCAATTACAGACTGTAGAAGCTGATAAAATCTTCAATTACCTCATCTTTGGCTTTGGTAGTTGGTGCATAAATTTGAATAATATCATATTAACTGGTTTTCCCTGTAGAGATATGGATATTATCCTATGACTGACAGCATTGTACTTCAGGAAAGATCTTGAAACATCCTTTGTGATGATTAATGACATGCCATTTCTGTTCAAACTGTCATTCTCGGCATAGTAGACCACATGGTGCTCTGATTCAAAATGGCCAAAACTAGTCCTCTTCAGCTCACTAATGCCTAGGATATCAATTTTTATGTGCTCCATTTCATTTTTGACAACATCAATTTTGCTAGATTCATGCTTCATACATTCCATGTTCCGATAATTAATGGATGTTTGCAGCTGTATCTCCTCAATTTGAGTTGTGCCATGTCAGTAAACGGAAGTCCCGAAAGCTTTACGTTATTCATATCATTAATGCTGGTTCTACTCTGATTATGCACCTCTTTCCTGGGCCTACTTTGAAAGCCTTTTGACCTAAGTGACTTATCATCCTGCATTGTATCAGACAATGTTTTCAGGGTACTCATATAGTTGCATAGTAATATATGAGACAGTGTTTCTCTGCTATTTGTAAGGTTTTCTCTGGCCAATTCTTTGAGAGTGGGTGGCCTCCTCCTTCTTCCTAGTTTGTCTCAGTCTGTAAGTGTTGAAACCTTTGCACCATGAGCAGCTCTACTAGGCTTGAGACACCAGTGGCACAGCCTCAAGCCTCACAGCAACAATATACCACAGTAGGACAAACTGAAAGACAAGTTTGTCTCTCTTAGCTGTTCAAAACCTCTCCACTCTCCCCACCATCAACTTTCATAGATCCCTGCCTCTTTTCTGCAGCTTGGGAGCAGTGTAACCTGGGTCCCCAGCCTTACTTGTATCCCTGCCTCTGATTCCTCGTTCTGCCCTGGTCCATTCCCCTGGCTTTTTCTCTGCATTCCCACTGCTTGGGAGGGGTGTAGCCTGG